GCACATTGTTTAGCCCTGAAGAGAGGTCTTATGTGTCAATGGATTTGAAAAAAAGAAAAGAAAGTATAACAAAACAGATTAGATCTAGATCTACATAGTGCTAAGTTCATTCAGAATTTAGAGGAAGGATACAGAGTATCGTGGAAGGAAAAGAAATCAAATGAGGTAGTGCTTGATGAAGCCCACGCAGGACGCTCGCTGTGAAAAACAACCAGGAAACGACAAATGCAGTTTTTTGGGACACCTGAATAGACTTTAGGGTCTTGAACATCTAGCTCTCACCTGCATAATTGAAGGCAAGCGAGGCAGAGGTAGGCCCAGAGCAACCTACTTGGGGAACCTGAACAAGTGAGTGACAGGGAAAGATCAGGGAAACTTGGCTTTTTTAAGAGCATTGGAGCAAGGGAATGAATGCAGAACCATGATCGCCGATGTCTGTCGCAGATCTGGCACTGGATGATGATGATGATGATGATGATGATGATGATGATGATGATGATGATGATGATACAGAGACGTAAAAGACGTGTGTGCCTTATTATTCAATGTCATCCTTAAAAATAAGACCAAGGCATCATTATTATTCTGTCAAACAGGCTTTTAAAAAAAGGGGGAGAGAAGAGAATTTTTTATCATGCACTAGTGACCAAAAGCATCAGAGGAATGAGGAATTAGCTTTGTGACCGAAAACTGGAGACTGATGCATGGTCTTTCAATCTTCATGTTTGACATAAAACCTTACTGCAGAGTTAGAGAGAAAGATACAGGCAACAGAAATGAGATGGTTTCGAAGATTTTTGGGCATCTTCTTCAGATATCATGATACAAATGAGGAAGGGAGGAACAGAATCAGGCGTGCCGTTGGGCCCCATGAAGAACTTCAGACCACTGAAAAACAAAAAAAAAACAACAAAAAAACCCAACAACAACCGCAAACAGAGATGATTTGGGCACACAACATGATCAACAGGACTTGGAAAGATGATCCTACAGGGCACTGTATAAGGAGGGAGAAGGAAATGCAGACAGAAAAATAAATAGATGGGAAGACAACATAACGGAAAGGACAGATAAAGCCATTCGAAAGGCTGAAAATAGAGAAGGATGGAGAAAAGTGGTTGCCCAATCATCCTTGATGTCACCACGGTCATCTATACTGAGGGATAAAGTTCTTTTTTTCTGATTTTGGAGCCGATATTTATAGGTTACGTAAAATGTACCAATGTCTAATTCATCATGACCGACAAAGCCTCCAAAATCACACTACCGAACTCAACAACACCTGTGAGAAATTCAACATGAAAATAAGCACATCAAAAACAGAAGTCATGAAAGTGAGCCGAAACCATAGTCCCCTGAAAATCTATGTAAATAGTAAACAACTGAAACAGGTGAAAGAGTTTAAATATCTTGGCAGCACTTTTTCTGAAAACGGGTCCATAGACAGAGAAATAGAAATGCGAACTAAAAAAAGCCAACGCTGTCACCTACCAGCTCGCACCCCTTCTATCTCATCCAAACATCTCCATGGACACAAAGAGTCAGCTTATCGTCTCAACATTCATACCAACATTATGTTATCAGTGCCAGACCTGGACCTTAAGAAAAACCCATGAAAGCAAAATCACCGCATGCGAAATTAAATGTCTCCGCAAAACCCTAAACATCACAAGACGAGACAGGCAGAAAAATGAAGAAGTAAGAGCAACTATCGGCACTGAGTCCTGCCTGCGTTACATAGAAAGACAGAGGATAAAATTAAAATGGTTTGGCCACCTGTTGCGCATGTCACCTGACCAGCTAGCCTTGAGAGCCTACAAAACCAAGCACCCAGGCTATAAAGGAAGAGGAAGGCCACGCAAAATGTGGATCGAGGGTGTCAAGGAAACCCTAAGAAAACATAACATCACAGCTGAAAGAGCTGCGGAGCTGGCCTACCATATGACACTGCTTCTCCCCTCGACGCTTAACGGCAACAGAGGATGAAAAAGTAAGTAAGTAAGTACGTAAAATATACTGAAAGGGTGCAAATTGTTATTTTTCAAGAAAAAAAGAAATAAGAGAAACCCAACGAGAAAAAGAGGAATTGTTTAGTCGGTGGTGGTGGTGGTGACGATGATGTTGATGATGATGATGATGATGATGATGATGATGATGATGATGATGATGATGATGATGATGATGATGATATATATTTTTTGGGGAAATACAACAAGGTCTTAACTGTTTTAATACCTTCTTTATACAATGATGATGATGATGATGATGATGATGATGATGATGATGATGATGATGATGATGGTGATGATGATGATGCTAAAAGGGATAAAGTTCAATTTCAATAGTGATCCACGAAAGAAAGCAATCATGTTATTAGGAAATGAAAGTGAATTTCAAATTAATGTATTTTTTCCCAATGCACCCCCATAAATTACGATAAAAAAATCTAAGGAAAATAAGAAGATGAACAGATGGAAAACTGTTCTGTAAGGGTTTTGCCTTTTTTTTCTTAGTACGTTTGCACAACTATTAATTTGATACAATTATATGTATTGCATTTGATGAAACTAAACGGCGAAACTATAATGTTTCGGGTGAAATATTATAATAAAACGAATTACAATTTTAGTTAACTCATGTCTGTCTGGGAGTGATCTCCCTTCTAAGAGCTCTTTTGACCGGTTTCGTTTGTTTCGGTATGGGGAATGTTCATGCAAAGGTAAACTCTCCTCAATGTCAAACGAAAATTTTAATTCACAGCAGGTTTGGCAGACTTTGAAGAGCAAATCTTTCGCTGAAATCCTTTTAAGGTTTTGCATTGTCTAGGGGTAGTAGTGTTTTCAGGATCACATTTCTGTCTCAGCAAAATGGTACGATGTTTCGTGCAAGCAGCTTCGAGTTGTCTTGAATTTAGAATCGCCAGTGGCAGTGCGTTTGTGATTGGTGGAGTTTCGTTAGGGGGTTGGGTAGGCTACTGAACTGGGCCTACTTGGACAGAGTCATTTTATCAGTGTTATGTACAGTCGAACATGCTCAGAAAGTCATCTGTCCAAGACAGTCACTTCCCTCTTGGCCTCTCACCTGAGAATAGCACAACAATCATTGTAGGCGTAGGCTTCTCACCCGGGGTGAGAGGTCTGAGAGGAGGGCGAGCCTTTTTTTGGGCTATTCTCACCCGGTGTGCGTTCACCGTGATAACCAGTGAAATCCACAGAATTCTACTCTTTTTATTGAATTGTGTGGTGTAAACAAACGTTCCAGCGCTCTTGTGATGAAAGCGAGCAATTTTGTCTGCGGGCATTGAAAGAGAGAGAGAAGGAGTAGCCTAGATCTAACGAGAACTTCTGGACAAAACAAAATGGTGACCGGCGTAGTTCGGCTCGATTCGAAAAGTGAAATAGCAGTAGCATCTTTGTAGACATTCAAATTAGTTTACTTTTGAGACAATAACATCTTTTTTTTTCTATTTTTTGTCAATTTGATCATCCACACCGATAGACAGTACACATTCAAAATTAGGAAAAAAACAGGTCTTGTTTCACACCGAGTGAGAATAGCCAACGCTTCCCTCTTAGTGTTTTTTTTTACAATATTAATGGCATTTTAAGTTCAAAACGTCCACCTGTCGTCTGAGAAGACCTAACTGTATACTCTTCGACTCAATGATAGTGGGCCTTTGTCTTTGATAATTTCTACTGTTAGGTATGACTGGGGACTCTATAATAATGTGCATTATTTGTACGGAGTGGCTAGCCGCTAGCCTAGCCGTTTAGAGTTTAGCGATACTTAAGTATGACTAGCCTGCCAGTCTAGCTGTACTTAGGTTACTATTGACCGAAACCTGTTGAGTACACAGAGGTCTCTTAAGTAATTATTCAGGTTTAAAATACAGTCGATCCTGCCAAAACGGAAACCTGTGTAAAATGGAAACCAGTCTGAACGGAATCTCCCCGCTCCCCCCTTGATATTTCCTCTTTAATTATCTGTGTAAAAAACGAATACCTGTCCCACGTGGAAACGGAAAGAAAAATCCGCTCCTTTTACCTGTCTAAGACGGAAAATGTGTTACCCGTTCCGTCCTGATTTTAAATAAAACTCGCAAGTTTGGTTCCGTCCGCTGGTGCTAAACTTAACAATATGCTGCCGAGTGAGGAAGGGGAGTTGAGGTGCAATTTGAGGGTAAATGTTACCTCATCTATGTGAGCCCTGAGCGATGAAGATGGTCAGGATTTTGTAGGTGTGAAATCTCACGAGTGCCAGTGAAAGTGCTCCAGTGGCGCTCCAGCACGGAAACTTTAATTGGTAGCCAGAGGCCTGAGGTGTGAAATTAGTTTGACCAATGCCTGCCGCCCTGATTGTACAGCCAGCCGAGAAAAGAGTTCCTGGAATCGTTGTAACATGGCATTGAGGGGTGGCATTGGCTGACTGTGCTTATTACACTGGTGGGTGGAGCTAAGGGTGGAAGCAAAGGAGATGTTCAAACGTTTCTGTTTTTAATAGATGAAACTGTTGTCCTATGAAATGCAAATGGTGGTAATTTGATAAATAAGACTGACGCATGTCATTATTAGAGAGTATAGCAGCAGAGAGGTGTGAAGTTTTGACCTCTTGTGATTGCTTGGCGACCGGACAAGCGACCCTTGATCTCACCGGCTGGGTCTTTGAACCTCCCCGCCCCATCTCCCCACTAAATTCCCCTGTCTAAGGTGGAAAATGTTTAAGACTCTTGAATTTTTTTCTGGCTCCCTTGCGATTCCGTCTTACACAGGTTTGACTGTACATGCATGTCAGTGAGTAAGGCCTCTTTTGGTTTTGTCTGAAATACACTTTAGGTGTTGCAACCTAAAATTTGATTTACAATTTAGTGCTTTTTGTTTTTTGTCAGTCTAAATATCATTATTAAGTACGGCTAGCTTGCTAGTCTGTCCATCCTTAAGTACGGGCCGTCTAGCCGTACTTACGCTAGCCTGCCAGTCTAGCCGTCAAGTACGGCTAGTCTCTTCCACATTTGTGTAGCCTAATCATTAGTATTGGACTCTTTGATTATGAAATGAATCAAAATGAGACGTCAAGTGTAGAGTGCAGATGTCCTGGCCTAGGTCCAAATTTTTAGTAGGAAACACTTTAGTTTGGAGACTGTTAAGAGGTGCCACTGCCACTTGATTGATGTTATTTAACGCTTTCAGTATTATTGGAAAGGAACTGTACCTTTAAAAAAATTGAGAGAATAGTAAATTTTAAGGTATTATTTTACTTAATTAAAGGACCCGTCTCAAGTCCAGGTTCCATCATGTGTAGGGGCCTACCTATTTATTATTTTCTAGTTTAGTCTGTTGAACATGAATATATATATATATATATAATACTGACTTCATCATTTCCACCACGAATAATTACTTATTACAGTCCATGCCGGCTGTAAGCACGCCGGCCTTAAGCACGTTTCAGACTCAAGCACGCTAAACGGCTCTTACCGAATTTTTGCTATATAAATTACACGCCTATAAGCACGGTAACTTCGGCTTCAAGCACGCTTCATTTACAAGACAGTCAATATTTTCATGATGACCCATCGAAGTTCGAACACAGTTTACACTGCAGCAGTGGAGTGTGTCAAGAGAAACACAAAGAATGCAAGTGATGGACACACACACTCATACGGGCGGAGAGGAAGGCAGAGAGATGCACACAGCTGTGCGCGCGGACATAGGATCTATCCTAGGCCTAGTGCAAAGCTACACACGACCCAAAAAAACAAAACAAAGATTTTACCTTTGACCCTCGCTATCCATTAATCCTGATTGTGTATCACGCGCGAGGTGGGATGAAGGCGGTGGTATGAGTGGCACAGCGGGCAGTGGTAGGCACAGGCAGTGTGTTACAGTAGGCCTAGTGTGCTGTATCGTGACTGGCCGTCTAAATTAAGTTTTCATTTCCCATTCGACCACAAAACAAAAACAAACAAGCGAACAAACACTACCATGGTGGGTGTCTAAATAACAGTGCACACTTTTGCGGGACCGCTATAGGCCTACTTACAAACAAAGGGAAATAGCACGGGAAATTTCCTACATGAAAATCTCTGGATTATGTCTACTTCACACTTAAGCACGCTTCGGCTTTAAGCACGCTTAAGCTTTCTCCTGATGACCGTGCTTAAAGCCGGCATGGACTGTACTTAAATGAGTTGCTGATGGTTTTTGTACGAACCAATATATTCTCTTGTTTTTAGCAATGGAGTTGGGGGGGGGGGTGTCTCATAGAGTCATACCCCCTCTAACCGAACAGAAATCTGAAGGGTTTCAGGGGGCATGCCCTATGTATTGCTCCATAATTTTGATGTTTTGCAATTAGGTTTGATACTTTCTTGAAAACGATTGATGTGGGATAGTATTAGTGGCCATACCGTAAAATATTGTGTTCTGGAGCAAAAAAATAAGGCAGTTTAGCCCTCAAAACAGAGCATATATATCTGTGTACGGGTGTGAGAGTAAAATTTCCTAAAATTCTAAATTGATCAAGGACATTCCTTCAAAGTAAAGTTGCAGTTCATTGTCATATCATCAGCAGTATATTAAGTCTCCTAAATCATGCTGTGTATGATGCTGGTAATCTCAAACAGCCCAAAAGGTTTGGGAATAGCTTCCAAACATTCCCACATTTACTTTTACAGTCTTCAGGTTGGGAAGCAAGGTTTCACAGGCCATGATAAGTTGTATTTTTATTATTCTCTCTGTAGATCTTTGGCCTTGACTAAACTGCATCACAAGAATTAAAAAAAAAAAGAATTTGGAATGGATTAGATCCTTAAAAGTGCACCGTAAATACGACAATGTGTCACTTGAATATTGGCTTTGCAAGTAAGATTCATTTCGGGCAAATGAAAATTGTAAAAACCACTGGTCTGAAGCTGAAGGTGGTTTGTAGTGTTTGGTTTTTGCAATGCATCTTTCTTACAATCTGAGATTATAAGTGAATTTTTGCTATTTCCTCCTCAGGCTCCTACTGAGCCAGAGCTGAAAGGAGTCAAGACTTCGGTACGTCTCGATTTCTTACGTCCACTCTAAAAAAATGATGTGCTGTATTTGTATATTATTACATGTTATAATTTTAAAAGTTTGTTGAGGTAATGCTTTAAATCAGTGAAGTAATAGAGGGAAAAGAATTTTATTGCTTATTGCTAATGATTATTTGATAATTTAATTTTCACCAAAAACTAAATTCTGCTTACTTCAATATATATATACTTAGTTGCTGAGTGATAGTTTCTAGTGAATTATTAAAGCTATCTTTATGATGATTATTAAATGGGTTTTATTCTTGAAGGGAAATTTCATGGAAATGACCTGATAAAATGAATGAATGCTATATATATTAAAAAAAAGGAGGAATCTAGCATGAATTATTTTGATGCCTTACTTGTGGGATTGTTGTAATACAGTAAATGTATAATTTGTATCTTAACTTTTAATGGTACATGTATAATATCATCTGACAGCTGTTCAGATGTACTTAGCCAAAACTTTGAAATTAAATTTTTTTTTTCAGATTCTTAATTTTTGGTATCAGTTGCATGTTTACGAAATATTTGGTTGGAATTCAAATTCTGAATCGTCTGCACGCTACTAAAAATGTATGAAGCCCAGAAAGCAAAATTTTACAGGAAATGAAAACAGATTCATTGTTTTAATAATTGTACGTAAATGATATGCATTTCGACACTCTGAATTTGAATTTTGACTTAATATTTCTTGAGCACATAAAACCCAATATTATGTGTCAATAAATTGCAATAAAAGGATTTTCCTAACTTCTGGGCTTAGCACATTTAAGAGCTGGCCGATGAAATGTTAAAAAAAGCAAGAAAACATAATCTAGAGGTACAATTTGTAAAAGAACTGAAAGTTTTTTCCTCTCTCCTTAAACATTTTTCTTTCTGAGTTTATGGCATTTAAACAGCTTGCTGACTATTTGTTATTCATGTTCGTTTGTTTTTTTTTTAGTGCAAAGTGAAATCTTGATAACTTATCTATGATCCCACTCTTTTATTTGCAGTCAGCTCCAGCTGCAAAGAAGGATGATATTTTTGTCAAGTTTGACAAATTACCAGTGAGTAGCATCTCTGTCATTATGTTTTAGTTTTAGTTATGAGACAGATACGCCAAGATCAGAGCATCATCGTGATATTTTACATGGTATGGTTAGAAAATTTGCCATGGATTAATTTTATGTGTGTCTGTTCATTAGTGTATTAAGTGTGTTTAACCCTTTGAGCCATGACTTCCTGAGGCTACTGTACCTCTCTGCCTGAGCTCCTGAGCGATATATTACTAACATTCATATGATCGTCAAAATCACATTCCATATCCCACTCAGGGTAGTCCTTGTCATTACTTAGCATCTAATTCTGATATATATTACTAACATTCATATGATCGTCAGAATCACATTCCGTATCCCTCTCAGGGTAGTCCTTGTCATTACTCAGCATCTTATTCAGAAAGATCATCAAAATAATCAATAAATGTTCTGTGTCGGAAAGGCTGTTTTCCATATGTGTTTTGTCTCAGGTGGGCCGGGTCGGGGTGGGGTCTTGCTCAGTGGTGTACTGGTGGCTAGGCACATGAGCAGTTTTACTCGCCACCTGTGTACCATGGCAAAGGCACAAAGGGTTGAATGCATCATAAATCAGTGCATGAAAAAGTGCATTCAAAACTAAATTTATGTGTGTATGATGTAAATGTCAAAACATTTATTTACGTGACTTGTATATATGTTATACCCTTATTTTGATTTATGAGAAACAGTTCTTCAAATGAAATTAATATTAAAAACCTAATAGTTTAAAGTACCATTTCCATTGTTTTGAGAAAGTTGCAGAATTGAAAATTTGTCATTCTGTAATTTGTTAATATTATTATTCTTTCAGATTTTTTTGTTGTCTCTTGTGATAGATATATCATTGAAAGATTTATTCTTCAGTGTAATATGTACCTTTTACATGTCTTTGTTTTATGTCCTTAATTTTGATGATTTTGGCTCAATACAATTTTGTCAGAATATTGCCTTTGTTGTTATAGACATCTTCATGATTTTTAAAATCTAAAGATAAAGAATTATTGTAAACAGAAAATGGAATACTTAAAATTGCCTGAAGATTGTTAAGTCATAATATGTACAGGTACATCTGGGTCTATATCAAAGGTTTTCCTGTGCCACCACATATACACTTCTTTTTTCTTACGTATAGCATAAATGTTTTTTGCTGATAATCAGAAAAAGATGGACGGATTTCAGTCAGTTTCTTGAAGGATATGATAAAGGGGAAGAGGAGGGGATTTTTATTTGTAGGTGGACAGTTCTCTTAGTGTAGTTATCGACTTGCGTTCCGCATGTCAATCTGCCATTGATGTCCAACAGGTTCGTGTTCAAAGAGTTGTTGTTGATGGCCTCACACGAACCAAAGATGACATTATCATCAAAGAAGTCAAACCACTTTTAAGTGCCAAAACATTTGATGAGGTAGGTTTTGGTTCTAGTTTTTATTGCAGGTTTTGTTTTATCAATCACATTTGGGGGGGGGGGGGGGGGGGGGTAAGATTTCTGTTTCTTCAATTCATATGTATTACATTGGTCTTTGTTTTTTAAAAGCTATGTTACTAGTTGATTCTGCTTACCGATACTCTGTTATGTGATTGTGTATAGCTTCTGAATCGATCGTAGCCATTTGTAAACTTGTAAAGTACCTGGTTAAATTCCACTGGGGCAACTTCATTTGAATAAGGATTTTTGTTTTTGAGTGATCAATTAAATCTGAATGGTACTGTCGAAACATGGCAATCTTGTGGAATAATTGTAAAAGTGTATGGAAAAACCCTGGTTTTGAAATATAATTATTACCCTTGACGTTGATGAAAGTGTTACTGATATGAGGGAAGTTCTCATACGTGATTTATATGAAACACAAAGTAATAATGCCTTTTTTATTGAATGAAAATAAAGTTTAAATTTGTTCTTAATTTTGGTGCAATATTAATTTGTATTCGTAGTGAATTTCTGTTTGCAGTTGGAAAGGAACATAATTTTGGCTGATTATATAGTTTTTGTTTTCAGCTGCCAGATATCCATTATTTCATTTTAGATTCTTAGTTTTCAGCCATGTATTGACCTCCTGTGATAGAAGCAAAATCATTTCTTTGAAAGGTAATATTTTACACCTTTCTTGGAAATTGACCAAAATGGCTGTTACTATAAATGTTCAGCTTCCTTGTGTAAAAGTAAAACTAGACTTGATTTTTAAATAAAAAAGCGTTGTGTCTAAATATTATAATAAGATAAATGTACAGTATTTGGTTATAACGTCCATTTTCTAAATTCCCAGCTGGTGCAGCTCAGCTACAATGCCAAAGTCAAGATGGAGAGGCTTGGCCTCTTCAAAAATGTCGTCATTGCCTTTGACGTTAGCAAAGGTAAGTGTGTGATGAAGATCGATAACTGAACTGCTAGTGATCAGGGCTGAGAATTGTCCTCCTAAATGCGGAATTCCGCTCAATGCAACACCGCTGTCCGCTCATCCGAAAGCCTCTTCCGCCTTTTTTCCGAGTTTCGTATTATAATAATATTGTGGTAAGAATAGAAAAACGAATTGAATAAAAGACGATAATAATTTTAGAAGTTTTTCTGCTTGCTAGAAGAAACCGAGGTGCGTGCGCATCCGTGTATCGGCCGATACCGTTCAATCGAGTGCTTTTTATTTTTCTTCATTACTGGTAGAGTCGCATTCAATTGTGACAATCGAGTACCGGTATTTACGTGGAGAACTCTGGTGACTTTCAGCCTTTTTTGTGGTGAGTCATTCTCAGCCCTGAGTGATATACCCTTGCATATAGAATTCTGGACCTTTTTATGAATTAGCTGGTGAGCGAAAGGGCGAATACTATTTTGAAACTGCTGTGTAAGTTCCTACATTTCACGTGATTAATAGTTTTATTACTTTTTTCTCAATGAAATTGATGCCTGCCTTTCTTGAGACACGGGATGGTGGAATAACTCTCAGAGACTTGGAAGAAGAACTGAAATTTTAAAGTATATGGAGTAGATAGTTGGCAAAATGTTTGGAGTGATTTGCTTCTTCTTTTCTATCAAACATCTGTTATCCTTATCACTTCTCCTTTTTTTACGTTTGTTTCTCTCTTGTTTCACCAGTATTTTTTGGCACTTATATGACATTATTGTGTTGCAATGGCAGTAGAACTCTAACTAAAGTAAAAAAAAACAAAAAACCCCCCAAAAGAGTATATGATATAATGTGACTTTTTTTATGGGCATCGTGATTTATGTTTTTTACTCAGGTTAATTTTTTTCCCCAGACAAGAGAGAAAATGGTTATGAGGTGCTGTTTGAGGTCAGTGAGTTCAGGAGGGTGAGGTCTGGCGGAATCCACACAGAAATCTCCAACAATGATGGCAGCCTTGTAAGTGAATAGAGCTATTCCTCTATTTGTATGTTGACTTTCCAAGGCCGAGCCAAGGAAGAGTTTAGTCTTCATGTCGATGGAACCTTTTTTTGACTTTCTTTACTGTCAGTCAGTGGGTGGTTGGCGGGTTCTCTGGTGTGGTTTGGTCCTTCTTTCCTATCAAGCATCTATTGTCTTTATCTCCTCTCCTTTTTTCTGTTTGTAACACCTCTAAATCTTCTAGCGCTCATAGCCCTTATGCAGCTGCGAGCGCCGTAAAACCTCTACTA